AGGTGGCAGAAGTTAGCTGATTTTTACCAATCTTGAAAGAACTGAACAGTACTGAATCTGCTTAGTACTTGATTAGAATGCCAAGGCTGTAGCCTAGACCAGCGGTTCTCAACCTGTGGGTCGCGACCCCATTTGGGGTCGAACGACCATTTCACGGGGGTCGCCAAACAACACAGTCCGCCATTTTTTTCCCCCGTTTTCAACGCAGTCCGCCATTTTTTTTTACCTTTTCCTTAGCTGTGCTACTCCCTCTTATTCTATTGGCTTTTGAAAGCCAATAGAATAGACTCTATTCAAGAGACTCTATTCTATTGGTGTTCGAAAGCCAATAGAATTGGCTTTCGAAAGCCAATAGAATAGACTCTCTTGAATAGAGTCTAATTCTATTGGNCTCCGCGATTGCCGGCTCCGCACAAAAGTTTCTTTTTCTTTCCTTTTCTTTTCTAAATTCTACCCCCCTTTCTCCCCCTCTCCTGTCCCCTCTCCCATTCTTTTCTCTCCTCTCTTTCCCGGCGGCGAGATTCGGCCGGCTGAGGGGGTTGCTCTAGCTCGAGCAGGAGAGCCATCTCTATGCTCCTGGGTCACGTGTGGTCGTGCGTGTGGGTCACATGTGGTCACGTGTGTGCGTGCGTGTGGGTCACGTGTGGGTCACATGGGTGCGTGCGTGTGGTCACGTGGGTACATGCGTGTGGTCACGTGGGTGCATGGGGTCGCGGCATTAGGAAGGTTGAGAACTGCTGGCCTAGACAAAGATTTCCAAACTTTGAAACCTGTTGTTGTTATTATAATCCTGTAATCCCTGTTAAAGAGAACACTACTAATAGAAAATTGGCTACATTGGAATGAATTTCTTTCTCTTTCTTTCTTTTTCTTTTTTCTTTGCCCTTAATCTCTCACAGAACCCCATCAATCTACAGAACATAGTTTGAAAAAAATGTGGTCTGGACTAGGAAGTTGAAAAATATACACTGTAAGAAGCAACGGCAGTTTCTCTTAAGTTCTGTTGCTTAGAAAATAATCAGGAATCAAACCTAACCACCCTGAAGATCTTATCATTTTATTAGCATTTTATTGTATGTGTGTGAGTTTCAAATAAACTACCATTATTTGGAGTTTAAAGAACAAACTGTTTCTTAGCTCACATTTTACTCTAATTAATTCCATTACACTTACACTTACATTTACACCTACACATAGATTCCTTCCTTGTTACCTTCTGGGAGGAGGCTTCAGGGTATCCAAAGCAGAACATCCAAATTCAGTCACAGTTTTGTTCCATACAGTATCAACCTTGTGAACTCTCAAGCTTTCTCTTTCTGCTATGTATTCAAGATGGACAGTGATTAATATTTATATGTATTTATATGTAAGGGTGTAAGTATTTACATATGTATGTATATAGCATGTTTATATGTATGTTATGTATGTGTACACTTGAGAGCAGGCAACAGAATTTCATTTTTAATGTGTGCCAGTGTGCCCATAGTAAAAAATGACAATAGTTATCTTTCTTTTCAGTTACTAAAACAGTTTGAAGAATTTTGAGAAAATTGTTGCTCTTCATTCTGATTTTTATTTGTATTTTCTTTCAGATGTCCATGAATGAGAAGGATCACTTGCTTGTTATTGATAATGCAATCAGAACTTTGGATAAAGTATCATTTGAAATGAATACACTTATTGGTAATTTCTAATGCCACAGAATAAAGATATGAAATGAAGAATGATATGAATATGAATTTTTACTTACTTTACTACTACTACTACTACTACTACTACTACTAATAATAATAATAATAATAGCAATAATGGATAATACCGTCAAGTCTTGGGGGTTGATACCAATCACTTTGGAGAACCCTGCTCTAAATGTATATTAGTGTGTGTGTGTGTGTGTGTGTGTGTGTGTATAATATGTATGAGAGTAGACACTGTAGATTATATGTTTTGTTGCTGAAACTGTGCTTTTAAAACTTGCTAAGTCAATATTTTTATGTAATGAACACAGTGGTGGGATTCAAATATGTGAACAACCGGTTCTCTGCGTGGATGCCGCTTCCAGAAGTCTGTTCTGGGCCTGGGCAACAAAAAACTAGCTACCGGTTCTGCCGAACTGGTGGGAACCGGCTGAATCCCACCACTGAATGAACACATATAAACACACATACATACATACATACACACAGAGAGAGAAATAGTTTTAATGCAGTTTATGACAGCATTCTAGTTCTAGATTAGGCTGAGATACACCAATTTGGCAGAAGCTACTGAATTGCTGAATTGTTTCTGTGGTTAAGCAAGGATTTGTATCTAGGTCACCAATGTCTAGAAAAAAAAAATGCTACTTAGTTGTGGTTCCAGAAAGGCAGCAGAAAACATTACAAGAATACTGTATGTACTGTACCCAGTTTGTGTAAATCAGTAGGTGGCCTTAAAATGAATGGAATCTGCAAGCATGCATTTTAATTGTGGGGGTTTTTTTTAAAAAAAGTTCTGTAGTACTCCCACAGAGGACTGTCTCTAGTGTTCCTCACAATATATTCACCTGCATTTTAAGAAAAGCTTTTCAGAAGTACTTTCTTTCAAATTTCACATTTTCTCCCTAGCTTTCCCTTCCACTTCAGTTATTTCTTAAAGATTCCCAACTTTAACTGTTGGGAGTTTAACAGTTGGGAATTTAACTGGAATGTGATGGTGTCCTTGCTTGACTACTCCTCATGAAAACTGTTAAAAATAGAATGCAGGATATAACAAATAATTTTTATTTCTTCTTGCTTTCATATTTTTTATAATATTGTATTATATAATACTTTATTGTCATGCATACCTGATCACAATAGAAACTTGAAAGCCATTGCTTTACTTTCTTAGCCTTTTTATCCAATTTGCATTGTAGAAACAGTTATATTATTATTCCTTAGGGCAATAAATACACATAAGGTAATACAGAGAAACCATGCAATGTACAGATTTTTTAAAGACAAAATCAAATGTTGCCTTACAGTAAAAACTGAACTCCTGCTTTGTGATCTTCTTCTGAACTTCAGTCATCCTGTTCAAGCAGATGTTTCAAGAGAAGATGAGGAAAAGAGTCAAGAAGAGTTCAAAAATAAAAACTGAGTATCCTTTTTGCTAGTATCTCTCCAGTAGTTTTTAAATTTATATTTAAAATAGTTAAGCGAAAGGGAACTTTACTGATTTTTTAATGGTCTTGTATCATAATATCTTTTAAAATATTTCTGTGAATATGTTTATAATTGAGTATCAGAAGTCAGAAATAAAGTCTTTTAAGCTTGAGTTACTAAAATATTGATATATAAGCTGGCATCAAATAAGGATACTTTGGGCATTTTCTTATTCTTTTTACCAACATTTTACATGAAAGTGAGTGTGTATTGTGTAAGAGCAGAGAGAAAGAAAGAGAAAAAAAGAGATTTTTTTTTTAAAAAAAGCCTTGATTCCTGTGTTTAAGATATTTCTGTATTTTGAAAAAGACCCGGCATATATTATAGCAAAATATTTTTTTCTGAACATAAAAGCCATGATTATATAAACATCAGTATACATTTCTTGCTTGTTTGTTTAAATCTAATAAATATTCAATATTATATTATTTCAATAAGAATTATAAAATATTTTGATTTGTTATATTCTTAACTTGGAATGTTTAGTTGTTAAAACAATTGTGTATTAAATAAAATTGATCTATATAAATGCAGTTGTTGACAGGTAAATGTTTCATAATTATTTTCCTGGGGGAAAAAAAAGCAAACTAGCAACATATAAACATATAATCAATTTCATTGAAATATTTTCTGTTGGGGTGAAGGGGGCTCACTGATCATTTATTTGAAATATCAGATTATTTCTTGCTTGGGACCACGTGACCAAACCACTGAAGTCTTGCAATAATGGGTTCCCTCCCCTCTCTTACTCCTTTGCTCAGAAATTTTTACTCCTTTTTTTCCAAATCATAGCTTGTTATGAGATTGGTTTTAGTCATGTTTTGTTTAATATACAAAGCTTCAAACTTGCTTTATTCCATAATTAATTTTAATCACATTTAATAGTGAATTTTTATTTCATCTAAATGAATAAAGTGGAGAAAAATACCACCAAACATTGTATCTTAGACACATAAGAGCATGGTTCCTTGTGATTTTCTGACACCACAGTATGCTTTGGTGTGATGCTCAAATGTTCTTGTTGTTTTGGATAAGGTAAGAATATACAAGCTTTACACTACAGCAGGCAGATCCAACCACTCTTCTATTATAATCAAATTTTAAAATGTTAATATTCTGGTCCTGTACAAGAAGAATATAATGAACAGTTGTTGACTAAAAGGTTTGCTTAAGTCACTAAAATATTTTTTCAAGAAATCTACCCATTCTGAAACCCAGATTCAGTGATTGATACAGAAATTAATTTACATTTCATAGTTTCAAGAACAATAAGAAATAAAAACATATTTATATCGTATGTATTATGAAAAATCATAATATACAATAGCTTTGATTGAAAGATACAAATGAAGACTGCAAAAGAAACAATTAGTTCTTTAACAAATGTTTAAATAGAAAATGACTACACACACAAAAATCCTTTTGACTCTTTCTGACCGCAATTAATCGGTGCCATCATACTCAATAAACTCAATAAACAAATGTTTTCACTAAGAACAAACATTAGCATGCATGCTGGGTTTAATAATATCAGAAAATATCTGTTAAGTTATTCTTGAATGAATCTGTTACTAAATCTTTATATGGAAAAGATATATAGAACTATTGTTTAGAAGACTTCTTCATCTTGAAGAAAAATATTCAATAATAATACGACACAGTCTACAGAGTATATTTCAATCAACAGATATCACACATATAATTTTTTTCAGTGAAAAATGAATGTGCTTAATAGCTTTCATACCAAAGGGGAGGAAGAAAGATAATACAATAATAACATTCATAGTGTAATATAAAAAAAACAAATAAGAAATTATCTCAGTTCATCCAACACAAATCAATTACTCCTCTAACTTGAAAAGACAAAGTGGAGCTTGAACTTGATCTTCATGCATTCTTTCCTCTAAAGAGTACCAGCAGCATATGTTAACATACATTGCTTCTTTGAGCATCGGTCTTTTCCATCTATCAACAAAAGGGGCATTCGTTTGAAGTAATCAACAATGTCAGCCACTGAAGTGAAGTCCTGTGTGATTTGCAAAAATCGGTTACTTTCGTGACAGAAAAAAAGTTAAAACAACTTCATTTTGCCTACTTCGTAATAATTTTATTTTATACAATTATTTGGTCGAGGACACACCAATGGATCTTTATTTAGTTACTAATATTTTTATCGAAAGTGTAAGATTGGAAGACCTGGCCCATAGAATGGCCAAGAGTTGGACATACCTAAATGGATAACATCATTATTTTTATAGATTTGATGCTGCTTAGTTAATATATACAGATGTTGTAGAACATCTAGGGAAAAGCAATTTGACTGACTTAGAAAGTCTTACATTTAATATGTCTCCATAGTGGAAAGATTATGGCGTTAAGAGAATGATGCCACAACATACCTCATTTCCTTTCAAGCTAGTTCCCAAGAAGTAGACTTGAGTCTCTTGTTGATAACGTATCTGGATATTGTAAACTTTGTTGTGGTAAAGCACCATTAGAACATATGGCTGCTCAACTGATTTTTTGGAGCTGTCTCTTACTAAAAATGCACCATCCTAAAAAAAGTAACATATTAAAATGTTTTTGAGAAAAGATATCATCACAAAAGCTTTCAAAATTGAATAAATATATAAATAACTGAAATAGATTTGCACTGCATTTTTAAGCATTTAACCATTTTCTTATATGTACATACAGTATGTACTAGAGTTTCTCAATCTTGACCACTTTTAAGATGTGTGGATTGCAGCTCCAAGAATGCCCCACCAGCATGAAACCCACATATTTTAAATTTGCTGAGATTGAGAAATACTGATTCATACAGACAATAACACTGAAATCTTTACCTGGTTTATGTTCCTAAGTGCAACTTCTGCATCTGACCGGGTGATATCAGCAACATACCACTTTTGATGTTGTTGACCCTGATGATCAGTCAGCCAAATGAAAAAAGAAATGGAAAAATGTGTTTATGATCATAAACATAAATGTGGAATTTTGAAATGTATTTAGGAAAGCATACAGATCACTTAAAGACCCAAAAGTATTCAACTACTGGGAGTTGATTTTGCTTACGTTGCTAAATATTTATGTTTAATGTAGATAAACAAATTATATTACATCTTCTTGAAAAGGTTTTGTTTATTCTCCATGGCTTTTGGATGCCATTCTAAAATATTTTGTACCTGCATGTATTTAGTTTAATAACACTTCCATGCAATTTTCCAAATTCTGTCTTAAGATAAAATTTCAAACTAGCATTTGGAACGTTTCACGCTACCCAGAGATATTTCCTTCATCTCTCCTCTCCCTGCTACATCTTTATCTTTGCTTTCTTTCTTTATTCATGTCAGAATCATCATGATTAAAATAAGGCATACTATACAGCATAAAATTTAAAATATAAAATACAAGATTAAAATATGTACAAGCTAAACAGATCTTGCCCAGAAACTAGCAACATTAATTGCATTGCGTTGCCATGAGATCCTCAAGTATACACTAATCAGGACACAAATGACAGCTATACATATGTGTTGTTGTCTGCCTGTCATCACAGTCACAAAGGCAGAAGACACCGGATAGCCCCATTTGTTCAGAGTATCTCTGAATTTTGTTTTGTATCCATATGTAATCTAGTCAAGAACTTCTATATTTCCCAGCTTTTGCCAGATCTTTGTTTTTGCTTTGCTTTGTCCTTGCTTAAGAGTTTATAAAGAAGTTCTGCATATTTTCTTTGTAATACAGGTAGTCCTAGACTTACAGCAGTTCATTTAGCGACCATTCAAACTTATGTCACTGAAAAAAATGACTTACGACTGTTTTTCACACTTACAACCATTGCAGCATCCCGTTGGTCACATGATCAAAATCTGGATGTTTGGCAACTGGTTCATATTTATGACGGTTGCAGTATTTCAGGGTCACGTGATCCCCTTTTGCGACCTTCCAACAAGCAAAGTCAATGGGGAAGCCAGATCCACTGAACAACCAGGTTACTAACTTAACAAGTGCAGTGATTCACTTAACAACTGTGGCAAGAGGAGTCATAAAATGGGGCAAAACTCGCTTAACAAATGTTTCACTTAGCAACATAAATTTTGGGCTCAGTTGTGGTTGTAAGTCAAGGACTATCTGTAGATAATACAATTTATACAATTTATAATACTTCTGCCTTGTAAGGTAATTAGATAGCATTATAACAGCAAAGAATGAGGTAAGCAGTAGAAACAGTGGGGAAAATCTTAAGTTTAAAAAGTTGTAGTTTAAACCAAGCAAAGTGTTAGTTTGACCCGAGTTTGGATTGTGTATTCTCTTGCGCAGTCCAAACTTCTTTTTCACGTCTCTAGTCCACGATTAGACAAGTCATTCTTAGCTGAGTTAGCTTTTTTCCTTTTCTAACACCAGAGACTCCTTTTTATCAAATTTATAGTAGTTTATCAAATCTGCTAAGTTAACTACTAACTACTAAGTTAAAATATTCTCCAGTTATTTTTAGTTTGCTATCATTCTATACTACATGGAATTTGTTGCCCCCATTGCTGATTCCCATTGCCTGTGTTTTAGTCTTCCTCCCCCTCCCCATGTTGGTGTCTGATAAGCAAAATGATTAGTTAAATCTGGTTTATTTGCTTCTGGTTAAACAGCTGGCAAGAACCTAGCCACCAGTCATGATAGTAAATATGTGACTGGAAAGGCATGTGCCTTTGGGAGAGGGCAAATTTTGATGGGTGGCTTAAATGGGGCCCTCTTACAGATCTACTTCTCACCTCTGCAGGCCACAGATATTATAAAAAGCTTCTACTTTATGTAGAGGAGATCTTACGACAAATCGTTTTACAAGTTTTCCTAAAAAAACATCTTTTTTATTTTATTTAAATAATAAATAATAAAAGTAGATTCCTTCCTGCTGGCCTTTATTGTTGACTTTACTGTTGCCTTGATCTCAACTTCCCTTACCTTATCTTATGTCCCTTTATTTCATATGGATCAGCTGGGTCTGAGTTTCTATTGAATAAATCACTTACATGTTCCAATATTTAACTTTTCTTGATGATATTTGTATACCTTATAAATTTGTTCCCCTCTTTCATTATCAGCTTTAGGAAATTCTGCATTTGGTTTACTGGGAATTGGTAACGGTGGTCTGCCATCTGCTGGGGTCTTGGAAAAAGTTCTGGAGAGGTTACCTTCGGAAATATTAAAATGTGTTTAGAAATTAAAATTAGTCCACTGAATTCATACTGAGATGTAGTTAAGGAATCTATTTCAAGTTGAACAATATGTACTTCATATTGACACCAAGATTTAGATTAATGCTGTTTTGCTATAGCTTAAATCCAGTATGCAAACTGATTAAAAACAGACTATATCACCCACAAACGTTTACACCCAAATACATTGATAGCTTACTAGAGATGGGAAAATTCCCAAAATTTTCCATTTGTAAAATCCACTACAGATATTCTCTTTCATTATAATGTATATACAGATGTTACTCCTCTAACTGGTGCCAGCAGAGTAGAAGCAACTAAGACAAATAGATGATGATATTCTGTGATAAATCATGTACAGTACTAACTGGCCATATAGTACATGGTAGGTTATTTGTTGATCTTGGCCTTCACTGGTCCATGTGCATCTCCCTACTTTTATTACTCTACCCTAAATTATGATTCCTCATTCTTTATATGTGTAAAATATCCCCCCCACACACACATTTTAAAGGGTCACCTTAATTGCTCATATATTTAATACCCTATATTTATTGCCCTGTATAGTAGTTATACATATCCCCATCTGTTTATAGTTATATCACTAGTTCAAATCTAGAACAAAGGGCAATATATGAAGTTGTGCCTGATTTGCAAGTATGGGAAACTACAAAAAAGAATAGTGAACAATGTTGGGTAAGTTTTACATTTCTCTTTTTATTTCATGTCTTTAATTTATTTGTCTTATTCCTTTGTGGTGACACACAGATCATTGATGCTTTATACATTTGCTTTAACACAAATACATTATGGTTCTCCAACTGATAAGATTTAATGAGATACTAGATTTCAATATCAGTAGAAATACAAGCTCAATAAATAAAGTATTTCTAAAATACATACTTGGCAGAAGACGGGGTGGTAATGATGCACTTGAGGAAATGCTATAATGAAAACAAAGACTGATTAGGATACACAAATGAATACAGATAGCCTCTTAATCTCCAGCTATATAAACAGTAGTGTTATCAAGAAGTTAACTTTTGCTGTCCCCTTGTTTTACAGTCTTCATTATATGTAAGCCAGAGATTGCCTTTATTCTAATCCTTTATTCTAGAATTCTTGCCAGTAACAATATTTACAATACTTCTATAAAAATAATGTAGCTTTAGAATAATCTAAAGCAAATTCTAATGCTGATAGTAGGAGCTTTAGATGCATCTGGAGCATGTCAGAAAGATAAGCAATGTTTTAATGGAATATATTACCACTTCAGTTTTAGATAATACACATTCCTCTTATAATAACTGAAATAATTTAGAGACTTGATTGGCAATCAGTTGGTTAAGCTTCTTTAAACTTATTCATTTATCCAATTTCCTGAGGAACTGTGCAAAGCCAGGCACAGCATAAAAGCCTTTCCAATCCACCAATATTGACTGAAGTGACCTCAGAAGAAGCAGGAGAATCGCCACAATATTGTGTCCCCAATCCCAACCCCCTTAGCCCATCCAGAAAGATATCATGATTAATAGTACCAAAAGTCACTGAAAGTTCAGGAAGGGTCATCCTGTTCTTAGTAGAGATCCTCCAGAAATACAATATATTCTGCTTCAATACTATATCTAAATATGAAATCCAACTGAAATGGGTTCAGATATATCCTGAACTCTCTGAAGCTGCGTCCTGACTTTACCTAAAAGTCAATGATTTTCCCTAAATGGGCAGGTTGAGCACATGACCAAAATTGCCCAATTTCTGGTCCAAAGATTGGGTCCAGCATTGGTTTCTTAAGGAGGGAATGAAGATGAACCACTGCTACCTTCTTAAGCAAAGATGGGATCACCATTTTACTGGGATAGAATAGAATAGAATAGAATAGAATAGAATAGAATAGAATAGAATAGAGCTGGAAGGGACCTTGGAGGTCTTCTAGTCCATCCCCCTGCTCAAGCAGGAGAACCTATACCATTCCAGGCAAGTGACTGTCCAGTCTCCTCTTAAAAATCTCCAGTGATGGAATGCCCACAATCTCTGAAGACAAGCCGTTCCACTGGTTAATTGTCTTGATTTGATTTCCAAAATAAGGGTATAACCGGTATTTTCAAATGGCGATTGTTCCAGAGTGAACGTTTATAATGTGAATAAATATTAAAATTATACTTCCATTGGACACTTGTCAAATGTGCTCTGACGTTTTTGATACAAGAAGTACAGTAGATCTATGGCTAAAACAAGCACCAAATCTTTCCATAAAAAACATAGAGGGAGGCTGTATCTTCCTTTCCTGCTCCTATTCCCTTCTTCCTCTATGTTCTTTATAGAAACAAGGACATAATTGGCAGTCTCAGACTGATGCTAAAATATTTTAATTTGCTTAATTTTATAAACATATAATAAATTATTATAGCCTTATCTATTTGCCTGTGGATTTCCATTGCAGTGAAACATCTTTAGATTAAAAATATTAAAAATATTATTATGAAAGTTTCTTGTTTCAGACATTTTCAACTATTAAAATGAATACTAATCTAGAGTACTAGCATACTACATCATTATTAAAAGAATATTATTTATAGAATTAAATGATGAATAATAATTGCAGCATAAGTTAATTGTATACTTTGGGTTGACAGTTCATTCAACCAACCTTTCTGTGTGTAGGTCAGGCTTCGTTTTGGGTGGTAAAGGAATTATATTAGACTTAGTGGTTCTGGAAGGAAAGGTGTTGAAGGGCTGAGGTGATGGCTGTGGAACTGGCCTTTGGAGAATATCTACAGAGAACAGCAAAAACAAACAATTGACAAAAACATTTCACTGGCTGTGAAAAAGGCCAATTTCATGCTAAGGATCACTGGGAAAGGGGATTGAAAATAAAAATGCTAACACTGTAATGCTCTTATCAAATCTGTAGTACATCTTTGCTTAGAATACTGCTTATGGGACTGGTAGTCTGGTAGCCATCCTTGGCTACTGAGAAGGGCAACCAAAATTATCTGAGAGCTCAAAGACCTCCTCTACAAGAAAAGGCTACAACATGTGGGACTTTTTAGCTTGGAAAATAGGCAACTGAGAGGAGACACGAGTTAGGGATATAAAGTCAAACAGCATGGAGAATCTGAATAGGGAGGTTTTGTCAGTACCTCAAAACATTTGTCCAAAACCCATAAAATAGAGCTGATTGGAAGAAAATTTAAAACACACAAAATGAAGTACTTCTTTACATCATGCACAGTTAACTTGTGGAATGAATAACCGCAAATATAGAAATCGCCTTTCTTGAATGGTCTTAAAAAGAAATTGGAAAAATTGTTGGAGGACAGGCTTATTAGGAGCTATTGGTCTTGGAAGATTCAAGATTAACTCTCACTTAGGGACAGCCTGCCTCCAAATAGAATTTTCAGGGGAGCAGTGGTAAGAGCGAGGAATATATCCACCTCCTGCTGTTGAGCACCCTAAAGCAGAGGGTCCCCAACCTTTTGGGCACCAGGGATCAGTTCTGTGAAGAGAGGTTTTTTCGCGGACCGAAGGGGGCATGGTTTTGTGTGCTGCCTGCAACCTGTGGATGGGGCTTTCCTTGTTTGTGCGGACCGGTTGCTGGCATGTCACGGCCGGGTACTGGTCCACAGACCGGGGGTTGGGGACCCCTGCCTTAAAGGCATCAGGTTCATTACTGTGAAAAACAAAATGCTGAACTAAGCTGGGTTTGCCCTGATCCAGCAGGACTCTTTTTACATTCTTATGCATTCACATTAGCTATATTATATGCTATAGCAAAATAATTGTGTAAGGACAGTAAGTCCTATTCATGCCTTCCATATGAACATCTAATAAGATTTCTAATAAGTTGAGTCCATATTGCATAGCCACCACTGGCTCCAAATTTGCTCATTAATTTCAAACCGAGTTGAGTTTGCTAGCATTCTTAGCATACACTATTGTTAGCAATGTAATGGCTAACCAATGAAAGTGGTTCAGTGCAAATTGCTTATTTCCCATAGAAAGTTTTTTCAACCCCTTCTCCAGAGCTCTTTTTTTTCTTGGAAAATGTTTGGTCTCATTCTTTACTGTTAATTTTTAACATAAAATAGATTCACGGGGTATGACGATAGTAAAGTAAATATAAAACATTACGTACTGTCAGATTCCATCTGAAAGAAATATAACATAAATCAACATTAGTGTTGCCAGTTTTTTATTGATTAACTGTGTTGGTTTATTCAGAATATCAACATAATCTGTACAAAATTTACAGAAATCAAAAGAGGATAATTCCTCTCTGACTGAGGAAGATGACGGAGGTAAGGAGAAGCACAATCAGACTTGCAAGATACTCTTATTTTAGCCAGGAAAGGATCACTCTAGTCTTCCTGGGGAGTTGGTTTCCTGATCTACTCAGTAATTGCCTTAGCTTGCAATTACATAGGCATTTTCCCCATTGTTGGTGTGGATCTCAGTCAGACTAGATTTCCACTTGCATGTGGAAGGAGCCTAATTTTTATCAGCTCAACCAAAACATTTCTGTCATCTTCTGAGATGGCTATTTTCTTCTACTCTCTACTCTGCCAATTGACAGCATAATCTGGGGAGGTTCTGTTTTTAAATCCTCCACTATTTGGGTAGGAAGCATGTATTAAACATATTGTAAAAAAAAAGCCAACCAGATTCTTTAATGTACTGCTACTAATTTATCCCTTAAATTAAGCATATTTGAACGTGGTATATTAAGACAGCAAAGGGATCCTATAAACTAGTTCAAGGATTAGTGAAACTCAAATTAGAAAAAGTAAAAAAAAAAGTGTTAAGAAGTTAAATTGAGAACATGCTACAAATAACATCATTAAAGAGAAAGATTATATATATATATATACTTACTTCTGTCTGTCTTTCAAGCATCTGATTGCTCCTAAAAAACAAGTAAAATTAATAATACTTTCTACTTTTAATAAAAACTGTTGATCTGTTTAAAAAATAAAATAAATCTCAAGTAATGGAATTGCCTGATCAGTAATCAAAAATTGTTTAAACTTAAAGAATAGCTTTAACTGTCTGGGTGGAGTAGCACTATTTGATAACCCATTTTTTCCTCATAAATCAAATAAATAAATCAAAAACCCTTTACAAAATAAAGTTAATTTAAAAACTCAACAGCTAATTTGCTGTTGTTGTAAACAGGAAAATGGAACTATAAAATCTTTACTTAGTACCTGTATTTATGCAACATATTAAACCAAAATCAACCAAAGCAATTAAGGTTTAATATACAGTATGAAGTGGACATTGTGTTTTGCAAACTATGCTCTATAACTTAGTGATTGTTAATTAAATAGAACATGGTAAACAAACCATGCTTTAATATGTTATGCATACTCAACTTTTGCCTATACATTAGTGTGTATACAAATAGCCGGTCCAACACTATAAATTAATTTTTAAGTTTATACCAGAAGAATCCCTATACAGGTAGTCCTTGACTTACAACAGTTTGTTTAGTGACCATTCGAAGTTACAACTGCACTGAAAAAAGTGACTTATGACCATTTTTCACACGACTGTTACAATACCCCCATGGTCACGTGATCACAATTCAGACGCTTGGCAACTGACTCATCTTTATGACGGTTGCAATGTCCTGGGGTCCTGTGATCACCTTTTATGACCTTTTGGCAAGCAAAGTCAATGGGAAAGCCGGATTCACTTCACAACCGTATGACTAATTTAACAGCTGCAGTGATTCACTTAGCAACTGCATGAAGAAAAGTTGTAAAATGGGTCAAAACTCACTTAACAAATGTCTCACTTAGCAACAGAAATTTGAGGCTCCATTCTGGTCAGAAGTCCAGGACTACCTGTACATTCCTCCTCTTGACAGGTGAATTGCAGAGAAATCTAAACACGCAAGGAGACTTAAAGGGCGGCACTGATTGCAAAGACTAGCCATTGAACTTTTGTCCTGTCTGCTCCTCTCTAAACTCAAGAGTTGTTTCAAACTATGTGATGAGTGGCATATAAATTTAACATTAATAATAAATAATACATTACTTTCCTGAAGTTATTTTAATTGTAATAGTGCTTTTAACCTAAAAGAAAAATAAGGAACATGGAAGCCAAAACAAGTAGTCCTTGTTTAGCCACTGCCCCATACAGTGACCATTCACAGTTATGGTAATGGAAAAATAATTTTGAGACCAATCTTGCACTGACTTCAGTAGATCATAAGTCTATGGAGATTCTCAATCATCCAGTCATGGTTGTCCCAAAGGTGCTTTTTCAGAAGGCAACTGGGCTTTCTTGTTTTTTCTTTGAAGACTTTTCACTTCTCGTCCAAAAAGCTTCTTCAGCTCTGACTGGATGGTGGGGAATGGAAGGATTTATATTCCTTGCAGACAGCTGGTCAATCTTCCATTCCCCATCATCCAGTCATAGCTGAAATAGCTTCTTGGATGAGAAGCAAAACATCTTCAAAGAAAAAAACAAGAAAGTCCAGTTGCCTCCTGAAAAAGCACCTTTGGGATAAAGATCATAAGCATAGTTATGGTTTCCTTTAGCAACTGCTTTGTTTAATGACAGAGTTGCTGTGTCAACTGAAGTCACTAAACAAGGACTACTAATATTAGGAGGCAGTGATGATAGTTGAGGGAAACAGCTCAGGAACGAATTTCTATGTGGATCATTTATATCCCCGTCTTTAGAATGGATACTACATTTCAAGTGGGCTACTGAAAATACCTATTTGCATTTCAGTCACGTGACATTCTGCTACATTTATGTTACAGCTTGAAAATGAAAACAGGGTACTAAGACCATGTTCAAAAGAACATTAGAAGACGTCCGGTTCCGGATCGCGGCATCTCTAGTCGTACGAAGAGACTTGTCTCCTCATCGGCTAGCTTCCCTCTGAAGGTAGACCCTTATGCGGGTCGAAAGTCGCCCTGGAGGATGCGACTTCTGTCGACGAGGCTTCGCTCGGCTGCGGAGGAGCGGCGGCTCCTCCAGCTGTCCGAGCGATCTCTGAGGGCCGACGGAGAAGAAGATTGGCCAGTAAAATGGCCGATCACCTAGCCACTCCAAACCGCAAGTCAAAGAACATCTAAAGAACCACCGTGGTGAACCTGGGTGAGACTTTTCCTTTGTTCCTCTCTTTACTGTATTTTGCTTTTTTTTTTTTTTTGCCTGTAAGAGCCTTGTTGGAATTATTTCCCTGGCTTGAAAAAGCAGCTTCTACATGTTTGGGAAGAAAGGCGTTGAACAAAGGAATAGAACAAAATTTTAAAGACTATATTTTACTTTCATATGCTTTAGGGTACAGAAAAAAACTTTTTCCCAAGAGCTCTATTATCACTTTATGCTGGAAGATTATTTCTTTTTTCACATTATATTTGAAAAGATAGAAAAAAAAGGGGGGGGAATGGTGTCTGGAAAAGATTTTTTTTAATCCACTGAGGACATCTAGTGGCAAAAATCTAATACCGCAACTTCTGGCTATTTTTTAAAAGAGACTCTCTTTAATTACTATCAAAATGGAGAAATCTCATTTACAATTAAACTGCAAACTTATATTGGAAAAGATTTATGAGGCTACTGCTGAAATATGTGCTACAAGAATTAAGATCCAGAAGTCTTACTTCAAACCTTCAAACTGATCTCCAGACTACATCTGACTATTCTATAAATCAAAACACACTAGAAGAGGAAATAACTGAGACAAAAGAGGAATTTATTTTATCTTATAAACATTCCATATATAGTTTTGAGGATCAGAAGAATCAAAGATTAAGACTTGAAACTTTAAAGCAACGAAGCTTTAAGGATGAGAGAAATAGATGCCTACTGCAGAGGATGGGATTCCTATCGTTTCAAAGGGCACTGCAAGCAATGAAGAGAGATCTATCAGCTGAAAGGGAAGCTTGGTTATGGAAACCTCCCTGGCACAGAAAAAAGGCCAGAATAAGACTGAAAAGAGAAACTTAAAATTGTGTAATGGATTAAAAGGCAATGTTGATTTATGGACTGTTTTAAGGACTAAGATTTAGATTAGAAGTAAGAAAAAAATTGGGGGGTGATTATTGGAATAGATATTTTAAATAGATTAAGAATGTATTTTTTGGGATAATAGGTTTATTTTGATGAAAATTATTATGTATTGGAATGGAAAAAATGGTGGCTTTTTAGATTTGGATTGTTTCAATAATTAATTGAGTGTTTTAAATTAGTAAGATGACTTTTTGTATGATAACATAGATGTGATAAGGCATGATAATCAATTGGATGAAATTTGAATTTTGTTTAATGAGCTGAAATGATTTAAGGCTCAACATTATTTTGTTATCTCAAAGAGATTGATCGATTGATGGATTATATATGTATAGAGTAGATTAATATTTTATTTTAATTAGGATAAGTATTGTGTACTGGAAGAAGAAATAAATGAGACTTATGATAAAATGAGGGATGTGAGAGATTAAGAATTAGAATATATCTGGAAGGGATACCTGAACTGATAACTTGTTGATTTAAAGTTAAATTTGATTATGGTAATTGTAAATTCACAAAGTTTTAAAACAGGTTTAGCATTTATAGAAATTTAAATTAGAAATGGCATATTTTAAATGTATTATGCTATTTGAGGGAAATAGAGAGGGGACATTGAATGTATTGAGTTGAGTTATTTATATATGATTTTATTTTTGAATGTTTGACTACCCCAACACCACGGTGTGTCCTGAGCACTTTGTCTTAAGAATTAAAAAACCAATAAAATGTGTTTCAAAAAAAAGAACATTAGAAGATACTTTGCTAAGAACAAGTCCACAGAATTGTTTCCAGAGATGTAGTTCATTGGTGCACAGCACTTGTCTAGGCTAATGCTAAATTATTTATATTTTACAGATATAGTTACTTTGTGGGTGGCAGCATTCTTCTAGAGGAAGGACTGTTTTTTTCGAATCTCTCAGTTGGTGGCAGAGGAGGCTTCTGTATCTTTGCCAAGTCTTCTGCCAGAGATCTAAGAGAGAAAGAGAGAGGATTTGAAAGAGAATTTCTTCATGTTGTGTTTCTTTGGCTAATTCTGATGGTTTATTTTACAGAAAATTAAATGGTTACCTGAGCTTTGGTGTCAGAGCCTGGAAAGAAGGAAGGAAAAGCAACATTAAAACATTAAAAAAACTGAAAAAAAACAAGCTAAAATATTGCAAGAGTTCACTAGAATAAAGCCATCTCTTACCATGTCAGGAAAAGCTCGTTTGCCTTAATTAAGAAAAAAGAGGGAAGAACAGTTAGTTACTCATCACTGGATTTAGAAAACTAGACAGTGCTGTAAGGTTATATTAACTTTAAGAGAAAGTTGAAGGATATTACCATGTCATTGTGAAGAAAACAAAAATGTAATAATGCCTTTCCTTCTTATAGAATGTGTTAAAATATTCATGTTTTATTTGCCTGTAGAGCACTCTCATCTTGGTCTGTGGACAGCTTGCATGTTCCATCCCTAACTATGCCTTAAAAAGATATTCTCTTAAAGGAATTTCTTGTTATAAGCAACAATTGGATAGTGGAGTCCCTTGGGTCCTGTGCTTGAGGACTTGGAATCAGCATAACTCAAGGACTCAGGCTTCAGAATGGGACCATCAGTGTAGTGTGCTGTTTCTGCAACTCTTTACAGCCCTGTTCACATTTGATTTTTGTGTGAATGGGGCTGTCACCCTGCACAATAACTCTGTACAAATGTTTTACATCATAATTATACTGATGACAATGTAGAAGTAAATAAAACTGAAATTTGGTTGGTTTGAGATAAGAACATTATCTTAACACAATCTGTTTCCTTCTTTGTAGATATATATGGTACAATATTCTTCATAAAGGCATCAATAACATTTCAAAGTCATACTTTCACATTTGCACTTCTAAATGTAAAGAATGTTGAGACTGAAGTTAGAAATGTTCTCTTTCTGGAATGCCAAAAAAATTATAGTTCCCTTTGAGAAACTGCTTTACTGTTAAAGTCCATTAAAGGTGCCTTAAGCATGGTGTGTTTCTTGTTCCTTTATTTGATGGATCAATCAACTAAACTCCTTAAGGGAGCTCTCTCTTCCTTGTTGAAAACCAAATTATGGCGTCCCATTTAAAATGTTCTTGCAAAGACATAACACTTTTTATCTTCAGCTTTATACGCCCACTCTAAATTTGTTTTCTGACCTTTAACCAATTTTTCTGTGGTTTGAAACATGCGCCACAAAAACCTCTGATATTTCTAACAATCTTTCTGTAGACCAGACATGTCAAATACAAGGCCCGGGGGCTGGATGCGGCCCGCAAAGTGGTTTCATGTGGCCCGCAAAGCTATCCTGGAAACAGTGAGGGAACGGCCTCTGCTGCCTCTTGGCCCTGGCCCAGGCCAGCCGGGAACCAATGTACAATTTTGTGGTAGCCATCTTGGCACTTGCCCCGATAGACCATGCCTTGGCACTTGCCCCGGTCCCACCCCCTTATGCCAGAGACCCTCAGATCTGTCCCACTCCTGCCCAGGCCCCCCATAGGCACCCTTGACGTGAACGATGTAGAACTGGCCACGCTCACCCAGTAGACCACACCCACTCCATCCATGCTCACCTAGTAGGCTGCACCCACTCTGTCCACACACCCCCGACCCCCCCAGGGCAACCGCAATGCTAATGCGGCCCTCAGTGAAATTGAGTTTGACATCCCTGCTGTAGACTCGTCAGAATTATAGTTTGGTTGAAAAAAAATCTCTTGCTATTGCTTGTCCATTGTGTTCTTCTGAAGCTATACATTTCATCTCATCACTATCTATTTTCTAATACCCTGCACCATATATTTGTCTAGTGCCCTCTCTTTTTCAGGCAATTAACAAATCTGACCCTGAACAAAGGCTAGAATGAAAAAGTGATAATTATAAATACATGCTCACCAGCTCCGAGGCTTTCTCTCTCAAAGGTTGGCCCAGGTCGGTCCATTGGTGGTTTTTTGCTTCGATCAATTGGTGCTGAAGTGAAACCCAAAAAAGTATATTGGATCAGATAGCGTGCTAGTATTTTTATGTGTTATTTCCACAACTCAAAGTCATCTTACTTATTTTTAGAATTCTAGTAACAATTTCCATTCAAAAATTGGTTAAACTTAAAGAATAGCTTTAACCGTCTGGGTGGAGTAGCACTATTTGGGGTACTAGTAATATCCCCTTTTTTCCTCATAAATCAAATAAATAAATCAAATAAATAAATCAAAAACCCTTTACAAAATAAAGTTAATTTAAAAACTCAACATGCTATCATTTAAGAAAATTCAAATTAGAATTGTGAAAAGATTGGGAAGGCAGGAGGAATATTTTATGTTTTGAACAGGGGAAATCCATTAAATGAAAGAAAGTAAGCACACTTACGTTTAAAGAGGTTTGCACTTTTGTCTCTGTAACTGTCATTATTGCTTGAAGGAGAACTGAAAGGTGTCTGCCAAAAGAACACATTAATATAAACAAATACACAGGAGTACATTCAATAATATGGTACTTAACTTGATTTTAATTTGCTGAAATAATTTTAGGTCCCCCCACAGAAGTGCCAACAAAGTATCAGAATGAGCAAGTAATATACACTTGTCCCTTCTACTTTCTACAATTATCTTTTATGTACAGTATGAGTCCATACTGAAGTAGGCTAAGCTATAAAGAAAAACTGTTCTTTAAGTAAAGATTGAATCCTGTTGACTTTCTAGACATGCTTATTTAGGGGTTTTAACAATAACATATAAAAAAATTCCCTTTGCCTTCTTGCACACTTTTTTTTACAACCCCATCTAAACCATGGGCCTGCTAATTTCTCATCAAATATTAGCCAGGCCTAACCCTACTATATTTTTAAAGATTAACCAAGGTTGGATAGGGATGGGAGAGCTGCTATATTCTGTATGTGAGGGATGTCTCTACATTTATTTATATTTTAGAATACTTTTAGTGAAGAATGTCTCTTCAACTCTGAGATGCAGATTATACCTAAAGTATACTCAAAGCCAACAGTTCAAGACAGTTTGGTTAAGTGATGTGAGGAAGAATATACAGACATGCATACATTGCTATACAGCATTTTCTCATGACACTGAAGTAGGTAGCTTTCATCCTTCAAATAAATATCAAAATAAGCTATTTGAACATACCTCACGGATTCTGGTTCGAGATGCTCCTGGTATGGGGCTAGGGATAGGCCTCTGTGGGGGAACAGGAGGCTGGAGAGGTGGTTTACCTCTCTCTGTTGCAGGTCTGTCTAACAAAAGCAAGGACATTTACAGAATATATATAGCCCTTTTTGTTCTGTGAGCTATGTATTTTCTAACATATTTCTACATTGCCCCAATAAACATGGTTCTTAGTGGCTTCCATGTGGGAGGGGAAATATAAAAAAAACATCCAATATAAAAATGAAAACGTGCCACAATTCAAACAACATAAAAATAAAAACAGTACAATGCCACAGTATTAAAAAATAGAATCAAATGATAGCAATATCAAAATCAATCAGGGGAAGGGTGTCTAAAACAGTGTTTCTTCCTGTTAGATTTAGAGTCAGGCCAAACTGGTTGGAGACAGCAATTGTGTAGATTTCTGAGCCATGAAGGGCTTTAGAGTTCAAAACCAAGACCTTAAGTTGGATCCAAAAAGGCAACCAATGCAAAGCTCTCAAAACTGGTGATATGTGCTGCCAATGTTGAGAGCCATAGAGCATATAGGCTGGTGCGTCTTGGACCACATGCAACTTCTGAATATCCTTTATGAGCTGGCCCCAAGTAGAATGTATTATAGTAATCTAGATAAGTAGTAGTCAGGATGCATAATTTTATATCTAAAGACATTTTATTTTACTTTTATATTTATATTTAGGTTGGCTTTTCAGAAATCCACCAATGAATTCCATAATGCAGCTTGACAGAGCGTGCAAACATTTTTAAAAAATGAATTTAAAAAAACAAATTAGAAGGAATTATTTTAAGGAATCAGAAAATTGTTGCTATTATTATTATTCAATGGGAAAAGTTCCCCACATCTCTCCTGCAAAATACCACATCTACCCTTGCAATTATTTGAAGAATGAGCTGCTTGAAATCAGATTTTAAATAGTTACCTATGTAATCTGAAATGGTCAGAATCGGTTTTGGAGGAAATATAGTATTGCGGAGGATCTGCTCATCATTTGACGGAGGGGGTTCATAATCTGCCTCATTTTCATCCTCAACCCCGTCTTGATCATTGGGCGTTTCATAATCAACAGCATCTCCCGTCTGATAGTCATCTGGGCTTTCATAACCATCACTTTCATCCTGTCAGAACAGATGTGTCCTTTTGCCAAAACAATCTATCATCTTAAGATTACCTTTCAAGGTACAGAATGAATTCTATCACAAGCCACAACCAAGAGTAATATTTAATACACAAACATATACACATGCTAAGACTTCTATTTATAGTGATTACTCTGACAAGGTGATAGAATATCTAACTATGTAGTCCTTAATTTTCAAGAATTATGCCAACTGCTGTGACACTACATTTTTTTTTTAAAAAATGTGATATTTAGATACTGCTGTCTCCCCAATGACTGATTTGAAAGGCGGCTTCATTTAGCCTTGTCAGGGAAATAAGTTGCTTAGAGAATTTGTGACAATAGAAACTTGGTAACTTAAAGAGTGATACACTAAATTCACTTTCTTCAAACATGTTTATCTGTTCTCGAACCTGCATAATAGGTTTCATTAGAAAGTTGAATTACTTCTGATATTTTAGGCTTTTTTAAACAAAATAATGTTCTTGAAAAAAACTGATTTATAATTTTAATTTGTATGACTGTTCATTCATGGATAACTCTATGGCTGTTCATTCATGCACTATTCTGAATGGCTTACAAAGATTAAAAACAATATTACAATATACACATTGTCACATTTCAGTAGCAGCTTCAACCCCAAACTGTAGGCCAAGTAAAAGAGTAGAGTGCAGTAGCAGTCTTGTCATATTGGCTACAATTACATTTCTTTCAAACATATCTATTGTGGTATTTAAAACGAAGATTTAAGTGCACCATCTATGTCTTTCTAGAGCTTCTTCAAAATTTACCACTGAGTAACAGTCATCATTTTCATAGCTACAGAAATGCGTATTTTTTTCTATTTATGGGGAGCAATCATACTACATTAATTTGTAAATTAAATTAAATTAATATACATTTTTCACTTAACCAGCTTTATTTCTTTGCCTGGGTATTCTATAAAACATATGCAACTCTTGCCTCAAATCCCAAAGTATACTTACAAAGGAGGACCAGCCATCCTCCTCCTCTTGTTTATATTCTGTGGAAAAACAGTAAAAATAATATATTTATTAATACACAGAAGAATATAAATAGCCAAGTTTGAGATTGTTACCCAATTAACTGTTAATGCATAGTTAGCAGAGCATGGTAGAGGAACCAGAGCTAATAAAGTAATGTATATATTATCTGATAGGTCATGATAAACCCTCAACAATGTTATTCGGCTGTGTCAGTTGAATATTTGAATGTATTCCACCAAAAATGATAGAGCATGAAATGACAAGAGCCCTGTTTTGACATTTCACGTATCAGGTTATGGCCATTTTCCCATCAATGGTTTAGAGCATCATTTGATTTCACCTTGTCATTGTTAAGTCAGTGTTAAGGTTGTCCTGTTACATCAGCTCAATCATCATGGATAATACAAAAAATGTTTTAAGTCTCTGCTTATACTGTATTGTGGATATTGCATGATGAAAATGTATACATGAATCATCCTTAACTGAAGCAGAAATATGAGCAAAAAGAGGATCCTAGGAAATGGTGAAAAAAACAGTTTCACAATTCTTACAGTAGGAAGTATATAAATAAATAATATGATTTACTAGGATGGCAAAAACCTTTGAAACAGGCAGTAGTTCCTGTTTTAACTTAACTATGTTAGCGCAATTAGCTATGATTTATCAGTTCAGGAATGAGTATTATTTTTATGTGTTTCCTACTTAATTATGATCATGGCTCTCTTACTACACCTCTTGGGAGAACATATAAATTAAGAACATGGCTTCAGAGAAACTCCCTATCTTGTACTTTAAAAAAAAACAAAACAGACCATACCACCTCCAACTCAATTGCATGATAATGAGGTGAAAAACACAGTTGTGTGTATCAAGCTATATTGCCTGCAACCCATCATTAGTCTGTTCTCGTTGGGTGTGAGTGAGACACAGACACAATGTTGTAGAAAGATTGAACTGCCAATTTGTTCATTGTCTGTACATGGGATAGAGAGAGTGCTATTTTGTCTTTCACCTCAGGCAAGAAAATGTCTTGCCCTGTTTGTAACCTATATTTTGATCTCCTGATGTTCTTGTCTCCCATCTTTTTAGAATGTTGTATTTAATCCTCAGAGATTCTTTAGATTGGCAGGAAAAATGCAGGCATAACATTTCCTATTTTTTACACACACACACACACACACACACACACATTTCCAATGACAATCCCTGCCCTGCCTCTGTTATGTCTGCTCTGCATTGACCCTGAATAGTGTTGTCCTGGTTTATGAACGCCCATTTGGTACAGGCATGGCTTTTTATTCTCTTCTGTTTTACTACTCTTCCCTTTCAGAATGGTATCAGCCAGTCAGTCATGAAGATAATCATGAATCATGATCATTACTGAGGCAGAAATATGATTAGTCTCTCATTAGGATTCTGCTAGGAAGTTCCTCCTTCTACATCTTGAGATGTTTGACCATCTAAATGGTTAAAATATGTGAAACACACAGAAAGACACCAGGAAGACTAAGACAGGAAGAAGAGAAATCCTGCTGACTATGTAACTTATAAAGAGAACTAAAATTGAGCAGCTGTTAGGCAACTATTTCCATTACTCTCCCAGGACTGGGGGGAAGCAATTGAAGTGGACTGATATAGGGGTAACGATAAATGAAAATCCAGCTTATTGTCCTTCGTAATTTTCTGGACACTCAATGAGGAAAAACAGAGCTATTGCCTCTTCAGTTAAATACATTTCAAAATATTATTAAAGCAGAGGAAAGCTAAAGTGATCCCTCTGACTCTTTAAATAAAACAGTGGATGTCTGTTCTACTCTCATATCTCTAGAAGCCTGGAGAGTAGTTGTCGCCATAAATAGACAAAGTTCAAAGGAACTTGTTGAACAAAAATGCTAATGAAAAGGGTCAACATTGGCCGAGAGATTACTATAGTTGAGGCGACTTAATAACCAGGAGAAAGGGAATATGTAATATCTCTCCACAATTCACAAACTAACTTCTTCTCATACTCTCTATTGTACATCTAACTTTGCCTCTAAGAAATAAATAAATAAACCCTTTATTATCAAAGTATAACATGTATACAGTGAAATTGGCTGTGCCTCCCTCTGTGCCCCCCCTCACCACAAACTCACGGTGACTACAAACCCCCAACTTATTTCACCCTGTGAACTAATTGCACATCACACCGGCCTCACGAGTCTGTCATGCATAAAGTTATAAAGTTATGTCCCATTCAGAAGCCTGACGGCCCATGGATAAAAGCTGTTCTTCAGCCTGTTGGTACGGCTGGCTATGTTTCTGTATCTCCTACCCGATGGTAGGAGAGTAAAAAGGTACCAACCAATAAGTTGCAAAGTATAATAGATTTTACACACCTTGATTCTATTGTTGAATTATATTCTAATTTTATATTCTTACTGATATAGTTAAACATGACTTACAGTTGTCTCATTGGGTTAGAGGAAGGGATTTTAGAGCAAAATCATGTGGTTAAGGGAGAAAGTTGACACTGAAGTGAAAACAGAGCCTATGATTAATCAGTATCGACACAAAATACGATACTAAGCCTCTTAGATAAGTTTGTTTTGATTCTGGGTAACCATAGTTTCAAAAGATCAAATAACAAATACAGCACCATGTTGTGACTTCCACCCCTTCTGAATGAGTACTGTGGCATCACACCCAAATATGAAAGGGGTGGAGTTTGCATTGTAATGATGCAATGCTATTTTCATCTTTTGTGAATGAAAAGCCTTCAACCCTGGGCTTGCCAATAAAAAGGAATAGAAGAGACAGATAAGTCTGACCCATGAGCAAGATGTAAGTTTTGTAAACAGTTCAGCTTTATTTATCAGTGCAATTTACATGGCTTTGGTGGAAACACAAAATACAAATGGGTTTACAGCTGCAAAATGGTAATCCAATTCTTTCTTTTAGTATGGCATCAGAAGTACAAATAGGAAAAATGTTTCTATACTTATGCTAAATTTTATTTCATGTTTCCACTCTTCAACTTTCATTGTTTTAAAAGCCATTATTATGTATCAAACTGTTGACTCCAAGGTAAATTGATTTCATTTATTTCTCTTGGAAATCATTTAAATTAAATACCATGTTTAACATTTCACATTGATTTCTGTAATGCTGAAGTATAACCAACATAGCCTAAAGCCACAGTAGGAATATTTTTTTAAAAAAAAAAACCTGGTTACCAGCACGAATTCTGAATATTGGTATACAGTGAATAGGCATAACAAATATTTTTACCTGTATTTTCAGGAGATTTCTGTATCTGTGTTCTGTAAATTAGAAGAGGAAATAAGCAAATTAGTGTTTTAGATGATGACAATGATAAGAAACTTGGGTTATGTGGTGAGATCTCCAGCTAAACTGGAGGGAGGCGCTAAGAGTAGGCAGAGCTTGGAGTCCTTGCACTGCAAACAGCAGCACAGGCTTGACCTCCACCAGAATTTCCAAAGCCTTGTCTGACCAAGGGAATGCACTCAGTCTGGTGAGATCCTTGTAACATATTTGCCTAACAATAAAGTTACTGCTTGAAATAATTCATGACTAGTTCTGGCTGTTTTGCACCTGACAAGTTGATTCAAATGTCCCAATTGCTCTGGCTTAGCATTTATGGACACGGTGGACACATATGTGACACAGTCCCCAATCCAGCCCTGGTCAAAGGGCAGTTCCATCTCTCTTTTCTTGCATCAAAAAATGGTACCTTTTCCAACTTTTGCCAGCACAACCCATTCTAAACACTCCTAGATTGTGGATACACCTCCTCCCTTTCGGTTAGCTGTACATGTTGTGCTATGTGCAGATATATTGTTCAGATATCTGTGCAGTTTCTGTCTCTTTCAGACTAAATATTCAGATGCTTTAAAAAAAAACACTCACAAGATTTAAAGAGTTTTCTTGCTCTCTTCTTAGTGCAAACCATTGGAGTCAGGTGTGAAGCTAATGAGACTAAAACCCTGAGGCACTGAAATTAATGACACTTATTTCAAGAAATGTGCTCAGTGCTAGAGTCAGGATGGAGTTGCTGCAAATGGAGGGCTGTATTATTTCTGCCTTAAGTCCTTTGCCCTTGAAAGAAGATCTACTAATTAGCAATAAAATATATGACATGACACCACTAGATTGTGAAACTCCCTAACACTTCATTCCGCTGGCTGGGTGCTGTTTGCAGAGGCAAAAAAAAAAAAAAAAATCCCTCAGAAGCATTCTGAGTGTTGCATTACATTTTGCAAAGAAGCACATGTCACTGACTTTCAGTGCCTACTTCCTGCCTCAGTAGGAAAAAGAATCCGAGTCTTTGTTGTAAAATAAATTCACAGATGAAAATAGTTCATAAGTGAGCCTTCTCAACTGCAGCTACATAATATTAATGTCAGATCTGCCCGGATTAGATCCCTTGGGAAAGAAAGACCCTCGACTCCATTTGGTTGAAGTGATAGGTTCTTTTGCTAAAGGTTGTTGGCTACAGTAAATTCAGGCTAGAACTAAGGTTCCTGGGCAAAAGGTTACAATTTTTTTCCGCCTTCAACCCAGCCCTTCCTGCTTGACCAGTTCACCTTCAGCCAACGGAGAGCCGCATAGGTGTTGTGAGAATCGCTTGGATGTTTGAAGCAATCCACATTCCATTCCCAGGCCGCTCAGGCATTGTGGCCTTGAAGACTGGCACAAGCTGGTTCCAGGCATCTTGGTCTTCCTCATGATGTCAAACCCTTCTCCCTACATCTCACCATTTCCCCATACAGGTTTATTGTCCATTTGTCCCCCTCGCCCTCTTCTGCCCCTCCCCCCCAGCTTTTGATGGCAGGATGCCAGCAGGGCACCAGGCCAAAGATGGAAGAACTGACAAATAGATTGGAAAGGAAGGTTCTCTCCAATGTGGATGAAGAAGGAATCAAGTTTCTGTTTTAGAATCTGCTGGTGAATCTGACAATATTAAAGTCATTCAGAGAGACTTTCAGATTAACTAATTCAGGGCGCTAACCAAGAATGAAAGTACTAGTAATTTCTCCCTATAAATAATAGTGGTACAGCTGACCTGGGTGAATAAATCCAGCATCTATTCAAGAGAATGTAAGTGCCAAGTCATACACTCATTAACACAATCATTTCTGCTGGTGTTTAATAAAATGTGTTCTGTTGCAATGCCACTCATATGCAGTTTTAAATTTTGATCTCTTGATCCATGCTGGATGATTTGGGCTTAAGTAAGTTTGCTTTTGCTATTCCTTCTTTGGATGTGGTTTGGCAATTAATACTGTATCAAGCGAACACAGCAGTTCTATTCATCCTAACAGTTGGATGTGCATCCTCTCCTGCCCTCTAATGGCAGCAAGTAACTGGAAAGTTTTCATTTACTATTGTTACAACAGAAATATACTAAACTCTTCCTACCTTTTAGGAAAGATGCTTCTTTTTTCTTCGTGTCGGTTTATTTCCTGACTTAGTTTGGTTAGAATGCTGAGATGAGAAAAGAAACTATTAATAAAACAATCATTATATTAAACAGGATATAGTATGTTAAATTAGCTTATAGTTTAAATGGGAGTTCAAGGTGCTCGTTGTCAACTGGATTTATTCCACTATTTTTTTTTACATACAATATTGAACAGAATGATTACATGGGTTCTAGCAAAAGAGTACAAGACAAAGTCAATATTCTGTTATTAGTTCTACAACTCTGTTGCTAATTGGAATTATAGTAAAGGATTGGATACATTTTAAATCATGTACATACCATGCAATTATAATACTTACTGAAAAGTAAGACAAGCTTAAGGCTTTAATGCAATAAGAAGGAAAGAAAATAGACAAGAGTAAATAATCTTGTAATCATAGAACTTTTAGTGATATGTATGAAGCAAGACATATTTTGCTGAGGTATAAAATAATTTATTGATAGTACTAGAGGCCAAAACAGGCTTGACAAGAGGAGAGGTTATAGTATTTCTTTGTAGATTAAAGTAAATTAAAATATAGATGCTCCTTGCTTAGCAACTGCCTCATTCAATGACCATTCCAAGTTATGATGTTGCCAAAAAAATAACTTTAACACCAATGCCCACATTCATGACCCTTGTAGCCTCCTTCAATCATATGATTGCCATTAGTCAGTACACATTGTCCTGTGTTGGACTTTTTTCTTTTTTTCCTCTTACAGATTGGAGATGAATGGATTATAAGAGAATAACAGGCACAGATATACATCAAAAATAATGTGGTGGCACATGTGATTAGATATAGCAGCCAGGTATTTCATTGTATTTCATATGCTAGTGAGATCAGTGAGTCTGTTAGGATATAACTATGATATAATAGGATAGAACCACAAAGAGTTGTGCAGGAACTAAGAGACAGAGTCCTTTTCTCAGCATATTAGCAAACCTTGGCCTTCTAAATTTTTAACAACTAAATTAACAGGGGTTTTTTCCCACAAGTAATTGTTATAAGATGCCGATAATACATTACATAATACAAATATTAGTTGGGAACAATGGTATTTATGCAATATAAACTATTTGTATGTTTAAATGTTTAAACTATGATGAATTTAGATAAGTTAAACCTTTAAAGATAATGAGAAAAACATTTATGTCAGTGTTAATATGGGTTCTACTAAGGCAGTGGTTCTCAACCTGTGGGTCGGGACCCCATTTGGGGTCGATCGACCATTTCATGGGGGTCGCCAAACAAGGCTGTCCGCCATTTTTTTCCCTTTTCCAGCGGGTGCCTTACCTCCCTTCGGCTGGGCCAGCTGGTGGTTGGCCTGCTCCGTCTCTGCCACTTGCCAGCTACGCCTCGGCTGGTGCAGGGGGCGGAACCACGCATGCGCGGTGCTCCCGGGCAGGGAAAGTCCTCGACTTACGACCAGTTGGGTAGTCTTCGACTCACGACCGGTTTAGTCCTCGACTTACGACCGGTTTAGTCCTCGACTTACGACCGGTTGGGGTCGCGGCATTAAAAAGGTTGAGAACCACTGTACTAAGGTCTTCACTCTGTGCATGTGTGTCTGTGTGTGTCTGTGAAAATATAGAGTGAAAATCTATATTTTATGCCTATATGGAAATGTAGATAAGTTATATTTTGTTGGTTCCTCCTTCTTTATACTACAACCAATATTTAGTATTTATAAACATTTAGACTTCCTTAGAAAGCTTATTTGTATTTGCTGCATGATGTATTGCATATATGAAATCCATTATTGCTTGAATTTGGTTAAACTTCTGTTATGGATCTATGTGGTTTAATTATGCCATTGCTGCATATCTCCTAGTTTAAGTTCCCAGATAAAATGTCTGCCGTATCTTTCTTCAATATTCAGCAAAGTTCTTTCTCATAGCTGTATATGCTCATCTCAGTATATTAGATATTAAATCTGAAATGAAATCATATTTTAACTAGATATAATTCCAGAATGCATTAACAAGAAACATCATATTTACTGATATAACAGTTTTAATTTCCTTGGAACACTGTTTTTGGATTTTGACTTTTTGACTCCACAATGACATATTTGTGCTTTGTTTTCCCTAGGAAGATATTTGGATTAAAGCTTTTTAACTCCCACTGCCCAACAACATCCTGCAAAATCTACCCTCATAAATGTATGTAGATCATATTTAATGCAAATTTTTTCAAAAGATCTCACTGTTGATTTTGCTTTGAAAAATAAACCAGGTTCCTTTGGAGGATTGTGTTTGGTTATGATCTTGGCTAGTAAAGAGAGTAACAAGCAAGGATCTATAGTTGGAATTAGATGGTAAGCCTTCAGTCTCCAGTAAATTAAATGGTGTCAAATAAAAAGAGTCAGAGGTAGCCGCAATTTAAAGGTCAACCCTCCTACCTTCTCACTGTATATGTGAAATTGAGCGTTTCCTGTCCATTAAACTATTTCAAAAACCACTGTCACCTTTAAAAAAAAAAACTTTCCGGTTTTGGTTTAATTTTATTTTTGCATAGGAAGAAGGTTAGTCAAAATGCAAGTGTTAAGTAATCTTTTAAATTAAATTAAATTAAATTTAAAAAAATATTTTTATAAAGAAGGAACTGGTAAGACCAAATTTCTCTTTCAATGTTTTCTTTCCTTTTAGCTTGTTGACGGTTTATAAAGTGGTCATAAATGAAGAACTATACATTTATGCATGAAGTGTAATTGCATCATGACCGATCAAGAGGTTATATAGTTCAGTTTTTACCAATGCAGCATATTTCAGATTTTTTAAAATTGGATTGGGGATTCATAAAATCTATTCATTCTGTCAAAGTACCCATATGACTATGAATTTAAACCATCACAGAGCTTTCTTTCAAGCTCGCATTAATGCTCTACCCTTGGCAAGACTACAAAGAAAAATACAATGTTCCCATCGCAGAACTTCATTTGAACTTCAAGAAATTGACTCTCTAACCCACACATCTCTTCCCTCTTGTGATTTCCCTGTATTTAAGGGACATTTCTTGCCATTCGCAGCAACCTGAGACCATTAGGAGAGTTGCAAAAACCAATCTATTGGCACTATCTTGTATCAAAATCTATTAGAATCAACCACACTTAGAGATATATGGTGTTTTTATTCTTCCTTTTGACTGTTTTTAATCTTAATGTCTCTTTTTCATCTGATTTTTCTGTATAACCTGATATATGGTCCAAATAACTAAAACAACATAAGAGTTGTCCAGATTTTTTTGCAGCTGAGACATAGATACCCTTAATTAACATTAGCCTTTAGCTTAAACTCCTTTAGGTCATACCCCAAGAAGAAAAGTTGAGTCCTAAGTGCATAACCAAATGTCCTTTTAAAGTGATGATATAACTGCTCATTCCTTCTTCTAAAACAATATATTGGAAGAATGCCTAAAATTTAACTAGTTTCCATGCAATGTGCTTCCATGTTTGTCCAGCTAATGGCTATGTAGTAAGTTAGTTTTATTTTCTTTTAGCATATGGAGAGAGAAGGAGTGTATGGTTCTGATCAAAGGTTCCATCATATGTTATATGAAATCTTGTACACTAAGACCATTATTCATCTATCTATTTATCTTCATTAGATTAGACAAAGGTAGTGGAAAAAATAGTAAGGCACATTTACTGAAAATGCTCAGCAGCAGATTGACACAACTGCATTGAAGCTGAGATGACTAAAAGAAGAAAACAGTCTTGTCACTTACTCTCTTCAACCCAATCAATGTTACCACATGTATTCAGAATTCAAAATCAAGTCATCTAAAGCAGACATGTCAAACTTGCGATGTCATGTGACATCGTGCGACGTATCAGAGCCTTTTCCCCATTGCCAGCAATGGGGTGGGTGCGGTTTCCTCATGACGTGTCCGGCCTGTAGGCTGGCAGTTTGACACCTCTGATCTAAAGGGTTGCATAATTCAGTGAGTAAACACAGTTGCCCGTACCGTACAGCCAACTTTTTTTCAGTCATATGAGTCAACAAAAAGAACTCCACATCCAAGGATTCAAATCATTTTAGGGTGATACCAAATATAACAAGAACACAACCAATTCTAGAATTTTTAGTTGAGAAATAAGTAATCCTGTTCAAAATGCAGAGAGAAAAAAACAATATAAATGAAGCATTAGCAATGCAAAATAAAAACAGCAAACTGGTGGTGCCTGGTTCAACAGCAGTAACTCTGACAGGGATCTAGAAGGTCTAGTTCACAATCACTTAAGTATGAGCCAGCACTATGCCACAGCTGCCAAAAAGACCAATACAGTCCTAGGCTGCAACAACAGAGTCTGAGCATCAAGATCACATGAAGTGTTAATATCCCTTTACACTGCTTTGATAAGACACACTTGGAATACTTTGTCTAGCTTTGGTCACATGATGGGGATCCTGTGATCATAGTAGAAATGGCCCAGAAAGATGACAATGGAAAACAGTTTCCTACTAGCAATATGAAAAGGCTGAATGAACTTTGAGGCTAGATGACTAACAAACATACAAGCCACAAAAGAGCAGAGGGAGAGAGGGAATTAAAATAAAAACCTACACACCCACTGCATCCTGTTCTTACCAGGTTGGCAATCTTGCTATCTTCTGCTCTTACCTGAAAGAAAGCCATCATCCAACATCTTATCAAACAAGAGTCAGGTAATATAGAATTCACATTATTGGGCCTTCACCCAATCAGCAAGACAATGTGGTTATGCAAAAGAAAACCTATATTGTTTCTACTTGCATTTCCTGCCCTGCACTGAAGCTTTTTAAAAAGAGGGGGGAAAATGAGATTGACTGATGAGGATCAAGGGTTTATATCAGAAGAATGGCAAAGGAGGGATGTGCTTTTTATTTTACTGGCCCTGAAAAAAATGAAGATCAGCCAAGGAAAGTATTTTCCAGAGAGAGCGAAACAACATAATCTCTCCTCTAGCAAGATTAAGAGTGACCTTGTTCTTTTCCCACAACCCTGAACCTGTGGAGGAATGGATTTCATTTCTCAAC